TAAGAGGAGGCATAATCAACTAACGGAAGTACCGACGGTGCAGCCGTGAGAGCCGGTGAAAGTTCTCGCACTGAATCGAAGTTCAGATAAGTCAAGCATGCCTCGGCAATGGTAGCGTGGGGTGTGTGAAAGAGATCTAGATGAGTACGAAGATGTTCTTGCAACGTTTCGTGTATGAGCCGGACCGTCGATGTTTCCTGGTCAATAGTGATGAGTCCAATACAGCAGCTGAGAACAGTCTGTATCGATGGGATCCTTCCGGTGTCTAGTTTTGTAAGCCTAACTTTGGCGGCAAGGGCGTGGCATAATTCCGCGACACGCAAGGGACGTTCCGCCAAAGATACCCACATCAAGGCTGCCATCCCCAATGTCGGTTTATATCCTCTTTGTCGCTTAATTCGGCCCAGAGTCTCGCTATAGGTATCGCTCAAACCACTTGTTGTTTGGTAGAGTTTTTCTCGTCTCTCTACGGTCGTGACCTCTCCCATTATTGCCTCCATATGCAACCTAACAAGTAGAAAACTAGATGATGGTTAACCTTGCCGTGACCAAAGACACCGCCGATGGTATACCAACATTTTGGCATGTTGTTCCACAATGTGCGCCACAATTTCCGATCCTAGCTCATCGTCCATCGCATCAGGTTCGGAATCATTCTCCAACCTTGTGGTTAGATATAACCTGACATCTTCTAGACTTGGCTGTATGTTGATGACACCAAAGGACCCCGTAAGGTGTGTATCCAGCTCCAATTGAATGTGGGGTCTGCCCGTCAGGAACAGTGAGGTGTTTGGTGATTTCTCGACAATCTGGTTGAGCGGACCAAGGAACCCGGCTCGGTAGTCCGCCGCGAATTCATCTACTGCATCGATGCATATGAATGCACGGTCAAAAGATTTGAGCACCTTAGGGAGTATTTCCAGCATCCTTTCCAGCTGCAAGGCCCTCCCCCCGATTTGACTTTTAGCGGCCTGGAAAGCCCTGACGAGTTCTTCAGGAATCTCCGGCAGTGCGGCCACAAACTGCTTCAAGAGGCTACCAATCATGGTTACTGGGACTTGCTCCCTTTGCCCACGATAGTCGCAGTAGAGGCATGCAATCCCGACATTTGATCCCGCTGTGCCATCACATACAGTATCAATTACCAGAGAACTAAAAAAGACGAGAACACGGTCAGTTGGTGCAGTACTTTCTGGCGTGAGATAATGGACGCCACCTAACAAAGGTCTTTCCCACTCCGGGATTCCCACAACAGAATAGGGTCTTATGAGCTGATTCCGTTCCATACCAAGCTTGGAACTCGGCAGTCCTGAGAACCCAGCCTCCTACCCCTTGCACCCGGTCCACACAAACATCTTGATGCCTGTTCCGTGGCTCCAGGGGAGATATCCAAGAGAGGAGCTCCGCTCTCTCGTCGACACCAGCCGTGAGGTTAATTGTGTTGTTATTATAGCTACCCGAAATGATTGTACTGTTAACGTTGCGACTAAAGTGTTGAGTGATTCTCCGTTCCATTCTTTCCGCAGCAGTTTGGGCGAATTACACGGTTGGAGTTAGCAGAAGAAGGGCGATCCCGAAGAGATCGGATGTTTGATGCTACCGTAGCTGAAGGATGTCGTTCTCGCGATCTCGACCAGGCTGGGTCTTGGCACAAGCCTCTCTACCTGTACTGTACAGTACCGTACCGGCAGTATGATGGAGCACAATACTTGTATGATACCGTACCTACGAGTGCTGTACGAGTACAGTACAGTATTGTAGATAATTGGGCAAGCCCATCAACTCACCAAACTATGCCCCCCGCGAGAAACGCGCAGCCAAAAACCACAAATTAGGTTAACGGGAGATGATGACTGTGGTGATGAAACACCGATCCGGTAGGTTTGCAACTTCCCACTCAAGAAGGAAAGATACCATACGATTGAGTGAAAGCCATGCCTGACACCCAAGGCTTCTAATCTCTGGTTTCGCGCTGTGCCTCCCGCTGTTGTACTGTACCCGTACTGTACAAGGCCGCCATCCTAATGCAACACAAATTAAATTATGGTTACTGTATGCCCAGCACCACGGATAGTGCTTTTGGCTTCAGCAACCTTTCACTTCGTCCCAAGTAGACAGTGCTACCGTATTTACCCGAAACTTCCTCCAATGCGGTGGGCCCCCATCTACTCAGACGCTTGGTTGATAGTATGATACAGTACTTGTCCGGTAGTCCTGATCCTAAAACCTTCATGGTACGGTAGGTCATAAATTTACCCCGCTCCACCTCCGAACTTAACCACCGTTAGCCATTAGTAACAGGATCCGGTTCGGGATATTAATATTTGGTGATAGTCCCTATCTCGGCATCCGATCCCAAATTATCTCTAGTCACCCCCCCCCCCCGAAACAACGCCGCCGAGAAAATCCGAGAATTCAACGCCACAAGCTACGATATAACTCCGAAGCCCCGATCCCAGGCCGACACTTGTAGTGTGTACGATATTTCGTTGATGCACCAATTGTGACCGATCACCCTCACACAGCCTGGGCACTAGAAAGGCATTTACAAAGCGAGAAGCCTTGGTGAGAGCACAAAATGCTTTTTCCTAGGATGTTCATGAATTTACGTGGTTCCTATTCCCCCCTTCGATTTATAGCCAATCAGAGATTTCACTGGCCCATAGCAACCGCCAAGGGAAACAAAAAAGTGAGGAATCACTTGCAGTCCTGGTCGTGGTCTCGGTAAGCACCACCCTACTGTATTATAGAACCGACACCAAGAGTTCGGAACCAATCAACTCCATGGAAACTACAGGTATGCTACCACTCCACACAACACAACACAGATAGAGCCTTTCGTATGGATATTCATCTTGCTTTGAAATACCCCTCCAAAACTCACTCCCATCCTATCACATTGTCGTATTTAGGTTCTGAAGCTATCTCAATCCCACCCCTACCATCATCTACTTCACCACACTTCACCGCTAAGCGCTACTTCGAAGTCCGGGACACCCCATCGGTCCTCGTGCCAGCGGAATTGTTTCCTCACCTTCCCTCTCGCCGTCTGCTCACGCTCCTAGTTTGCCTCGTCAACTCGAGCCCACCACTTCGGCTGGTACGCATACATTGGGCCATTAGCCAACCGGCTGTATGATGTCTACGCTGAAGGCCATACCTATGGGCGGCCCTCTTTCACACTTGATTTGCCAACCGATAGATACAGAGGAAGATATTGTACCTCGTAGGTCCAATCGAGTGATAATCCATGAAACTACCAGAATAGCCCCCCCCCCATAATAATTCCTCGAGAAGGCCGATGAGAGCGTATCATACCATACAGCTCAGCGCGCTTATTATGCTCAACCTTTTATCAGAATCTAATCTAAAAATTCCCCCCCCTCTCTCCAGAGAAAATTTGCCAGAAACTTCAGCTTTGAAAGAAAGAAAAAAAACTTGCCGAGTGAAGACAACGAAATGCAGATCCCAGGTTTTTGTGTTCTTCGAGATCGTAATGATGCTATTTGCGCCATGTACAGTACGGTGTAATTCGTTCCACGGGGTGTATACCACACCAGATCGGGCGCCTCGCAACGCTGGATTAAACAGTCATCACATAAAAAAGGAGTCAGAGAACCCGTTGTTGGATTCTTTACTCTTATTGCCTTCTTTCTTTTTTTCTCACAACCCAGTTATCATACCGTCAACTGCGATTATCAATAGAGGAACAAATTGACCATCACACTTCCCGCGCAAAAGTCACGAAAATTAACCAACTCCAAAAGTAGAAAAGACAAAAAAGGGCTGGAGCGGGAGTTCAAAATTGAGCGCAGAATGTCCGAAACCCACTTCACCATATCTACCACCCTTCGATCTAACGACTGTTCCAGTCTGGTTAAACGCTATGGATGAATTACCCCGTAATCCGCTATGGCGGTGCGGAGAACGTAGCCGCTAGGGGTTCACGAATGGCTTTCCAGTTAGGTGTTTGTGTGGCCGGGGGGTGCGGTTGGCGTTAGTAGCAAGCAAGATATGTGGTATCGTATGGCGAGGAGGACGACGATGTGATCTGGCTCGGAAGCGGAGGGGGGGTGATTCCCGGTGGGGTGCATGGGCGGGAACGTATGATACAGTGAGCAGTGGGTTGATCCGCGTGGGTGGAGGTTTGCGCGACATGGCGAGTTAAAGGACGGGGGAGATGAGATGTGGTTTACTCAGATAATTTTTTGCGTGGATAGTCTATTACTCAGTGTCCCGCCAAAGCTAACCGCTGTATGATACAGCGCACCAAACAGCTACCGCAGAAGCCCGGAGAATTGGTGCTGCCTTCTCCAGCATGGCCCCCCACGTGTTTTCCGTTTTTCTTCTCTCCGAACTGCTGAGTAACTCACCTTCCGCCATGTTTTCCACCCCTTGCTGCTCCTCACCAGCCCAAACCTCCCCTCTCCTCTGTTATCCCTTTGTTGGGAAAGGTGTTGGAAAGATGATCGCCGCGCCCGATACAAATATCATTATCTCCCCCTCAAAGTTACCCCTCCTGTATTTTTGCTTACGGTTCCTGCTCCATATGCTTCTCATATTCAGCGATATTTCTGACATCCCCAACCAAGCCATGACATAACATCACCCATCCAGAGCCACACCCCCGAGTGACCCCCCATGACCAAAAATCCCTCCTACACGTGACTAACGACTGTCGCCAATCCAAACCCCCAAATTCCAAATCCGGAAACTCCATGCGGTTCCCTATCTCGTGTATCACCCACCTGCCCCCCCATCCGCTTCAGATAACGTGCATACGGTACGGTACTTGATTGCCTGTTCGGAGTGCATGGGGAAAAAGCGAGTAACGAACCGGCACTGTACGAGCAGTGTATCCCAGTAGACAATCATACTTGCTTGGTTGTACGATGCAATGGGCGATAGGAAGCTTACCGGGGGCTGGCCAGCTGGTAAGCAGGCATGGGAGAATGAAGGAAGGAAGGGGATAAAGAGGAAAGGTCCGGTCCGAGAGTAAGTAAGGTAATTTTCGCGTTGGCAATCAGGCAGGCTATCACACTTGCTACACTACAACAAACAAAACCCCCCGCGAGAAGGGTGAAATAAAAAACAAAAATGAGGAAAGCGTAGTCAAGACAAACGCCCTATGAAACAGACACCCATCTGAAAAGGAAAAAAGGAGAGGAGAGGAGAAAAGGAGAGAAAAGAGAAAGATTTCAGGTTTTCCACCCTCTTTTAGCACCGATTTCCCGCCCTTTGACGGATCGGTAGTCCTCGTATTGTTGCGTGTACGCACCATCTTGAGATGGTCCTTGTGGTGGCTGCCAGCCCTGTGCCCCTGCGGATGGATGTTGATGCTGCTGCTGGTGGTGGGCGACAGGCGCAGAGGGCGGGGGTGGGGGCGGAGGTGGTGGGGGAGGGCCGCCGTAGTTGTACTGGTATTGATGTTGCTGCTGGTAGTACTGCTGCTGCTGCTGCTGCTGTTGCGCATGTGGCATGTTCCAGTTGTGCGTTTGTGGGGGCGGAGGCGGTGGTGGTGGGAACGCTGGCTGTGCCCGATAGTACTGGAGGTGATGAGGAGGTGGTGGGACCGGGTATCCTGATTGGTGAGGAGGATATTGGTGCGTCTCAGCAAGTGGGGGGATGTTCGGCTGAGCTCGCGGTTGTTGAAAGGAAGGTCTCTCTGCAGATCTCGATCTCGATCGCGATCGTGACCGGGAGCGGGAGCGAGAGCTGGAACGAGATGAAGGACTCTCACTTCTGCTATCTCTCCTTGACCGCCGTCTCCTATCTCGAGAGGGAGATCTCGACCGAGAGTAACACGACGCCGATCTGTTCTGCTGGCTCGCGTCTGGGGAATAGCTGTGGGTCCGGCGACGGGAATATCGCTTTTCCTTCAACGCGGCGCGCTTCTTCTGCCTCATCTTATGGCAAAAGTCCTTGCTCCATCCATAATAGCTTTCGCCGCCTCCACCTCCGATTGCATCCGGATCTTCTATAAGCGCGTCGTCACCGTTGAACATATCGTCGGCAGACTTGATAAAGTCTTTGACCGCAGCTGCAAGCGACTCGTTGGGGACTAGTGTCGAGAACTGGATTGGCTTCATCAAGCGCGGATTTATGGGCGTCGGTGAGTTGGGTATCAGATGAGGGAGCATGTTTGCCGCCGGAAGGTCGTAGAATGGCAGCGACGGATCTCCATGAAAAGGAGGAAGCAAGAGTGGTTTCTCCACCGAAACTTTGGCCTTCGCCGAGTCCGCGGACGGTGTGGGCCTAGCAGCAGGAGTAGCCGATGTAGCATCCTTAACAATAAGCTTCAACTCCTCGATAAACGACTTTCTGTAATAACCCTTCTCCGCCCAGATATCCAACAGCTTCCCCAACCTCGCTAGCTGCTTCACTGCCCCTGGATACATTGCCGCAGCGAACAAATCGGCGAGAAATGGTTCGACCTCCTTCGCGAACAAACCGTCGGAAGGCTCATTGTAGGTGGTATGGTGCAATAAATCGTTGACCAAGTATAAAACGTTAACCCTCTTCCTCCTGGCACTAGTCCTCCCAACAGCCGCAGTGGAAGCCGAAGTCGAAAGCGAAGGTGATAGAGCCGTCAGGAATTTCCCAAGAGCGGCGAACCGAGCACGCGAATTCATATATCTCAAGATCCATCGTTTGCAATTCTATTCACATAAAAACATAGCCGGGGAAAAGGAGAAACCATCCGGACAACAAAGTAATTAGCCATGTTTGGTCTTCTCCAAAAAGAATGTTTCAAGAGATCAAAAAAATCAAAAGACGGGGGGAGAAAGGAAAGGAACTTTGATCAAACAAAAATTCCCCTTTCTCTCTCTCTCCCTTTCTCCCAGTACTTCGTCATTTTTCTCTCTTTCATGGTGAGTGCGGTGCGGATGCGGTCTGGGGAAAAAGTATGTGTGTAGCAACCTGGATATTCGATGGTGAGCACTTGCTCAGTGCCTGTTCCAGCAGTGTGTGAAAACTGGAGATCTCGTCACGAGAGACAGCAGTGGGGTCGGGTCGGAGGAGACCGGCAGCGAGTGAAGCGCGTGCGATGGCAACTTGATGGGAAATGGCCGAGGCCATGATGGCGATGGTGGCGGAGCTATACGATAGGAAACGATAGGTGAGGGGTGTTGAGTGAGTGCTGATGCGGAGTGTAGCAGTATGTCCGTAGTCTAGGAAGAGGTGGAAAAAAAATTATGATAAAAAAAGCGTCTTGCAGCGGTTGGAAATTGTGTGCGATGGTTTGAGGTAGGGAACGAGCGAGGGAAGTCTTGGGGCTCAGGTTAGTGCAACCAATGGTGTGTGGTGGTGCACTCGTGTGGCCCTTTTTCATTCGCTAGTCACTTCAAAGTTGAAGAAACCCGGTCCTTAGAAGGCCAAAAAATGTGAAAACACACTGATGGATCTGTCCGCCTACATAAATTCTGTGATCCTGTTGCTCCCCCTTTCAACTGCGAATAATCTCTCCGATTGTCGGACCCTCGCGAAGTGAGATTAGTTCATGCTCTCGATCTTGTGCATTACTTCTCTTGCGTTACCTGTAAAATTACTACTTCTGCTCTACTCGTCTCTTCACCATTTCGCAAGAGATAACGCAAAAATCCAAAACCCAAGTCCAAGCTCTCCTCGGTACTCCCGATGAACGACTGTTTGAGTATCACATAGAAAACTCTCACCGGGCTCATGGCAACCTTGCTGCAATAGCCTCCGAGAACGTTGGGGAAATGAAGTGATAGAAATAAGTAAAAAGTAATACCGATATGGTCCCCCTTCAACCGCCTACAGCTGCCAACTCCCGGTCTCCTGGTTCTCGTGATCTCATTCTCACCCCATTGGCATGCACACCTTTCTTTCTGTCACCCCTTCCCCTTCCTTTCTTTCCCCTTGTGATACTCGTGCACCGACCCCGTAGCGTACCAGGCTCCAAACCAGGAAAAGGAAAGAGAAGAGAAAAAACAAAAAAGATGTCGCAGTAAGATACCGTACCAGAACATTGGAAGAAGAAAAAAATAGAGCAGTGCCAACACTGACTGCGCCTTTGCTCCAGAAAATAATCTAGAGAAGAGATGAAAGTTAAATATATATAATATATACATAGAAAGAGAACATGCATCGTGCTTGTCCGCCGTCCATTTGGGAGGGAGGAAGTGAAATGGTAATCAAAATCGTAAATAAAACAATAATAACGAAAAGATCAAAAAAGCAAGAAGCAGACGATACAAACTTCCCCTCACCAATTACCGTAGACAACCACTCTAGCAAGAAAAGCGAGCTAATGCGACAAATCAGATTTCCGCCTCTTCCCAAGAAAGACCAAATAGGAAATTTTAGAAAGGAAAAAACAGAAGACCGCTTTTCCATTTGCCCAGGCAAACGCAACATAACCTAACGTAACGTGAAAGCGTGGGGTTCCCAATTACACCCCCAGGGCAGCAACAGCTCTAGCAAGATCATCCTCCGCAACGATAACCGTTCCAGCTCTAGCAGTACTCAGGTAACTCATCTCGATCGCCTCGGTCCTGTCCAGAATCTCCCCTGTTGTCCCTCCCACCAACTTTCCTGCAACTCCACACACAATCCCCGTAGAATCCACAGGAAGACCCCTCAAATCCAGAAGGATGGGGATGAGCACGTCCTCCTTGCTACCCAGTAGGGCATTGTCAGAGCCAAATATAGGGAGCATCTCCTTCTCCAATAGAAGAGATGCAGGCTCCGCGTCTGTCAAGGTGACGCTCAAGAATTGAGGCTTTGAAATGAGACATTTGACCAACCCCAGGTAGAGCCCTCTATCGTCACTGCCTCTGCCCTTATTAACCGAGCGCCTACCGGCACATAATACTAGCCTTGTATTTTTGTTCACCTGCGGGACTATGCTCTGCCCTCGTAGGGTTTCAAACGTCTTGATCTGTAGTTCACCGACTGTGGTTGGCGGTGGTGAGGGAGGGGCGATATTAAATGAGGAGGCGGAGGATGAGTTGCGGTGATGCGAAGGGCTCGTGACAAATGCCTCCGTATGCTTCTCAAAAACGAATCCCCGTCGTTGCAGCGCTTTGGTGACGTTGCCACGGTTCTTCGACGGAACCAGGATATAATCCGAGAAATAGGTCGTGAGAAAGAATATGGGGCTGTAAAGCGAACCGAACCACTCGTTAGACTTCTGAGAAAACAATCCAATAGCGTAGATAGTGATCTGCCACTGGTCTCCCGAAATATTACTACTCACACTCCGGCCAATGCCAATGGACTAGTCAAGTCCAAGACCCTCTGACCCGCATCCAGCCCTTCTCCGTCAACCTGAATCGCAACAAACTCGTCCTCTGAAATCCTGACCTCTTCCCTGTGACTCGATGACAGGGTTTGTATAATCGGTGCAAACAGGTTTTCCACCTGCTCGGTAGAACATACAACAGAGCACTCCACCGGTGTCACTGAGATATTGACAAAATTTTTGCTTTTGGACGAAGATCTTCCAGTAGAATAGTAGCCCGGAACCAAACCTTCGTCTTCATAACCCGATCCATACGCACGACCCTCACCATCATCATCATCATCATCGCCACCATCCATATACCCGCTTGTTCCCTCCGTCCTTCTGCCACCCCATGGCTTCCCATCCTCCGGGGACGGGGATATCGAGGGAAGTATCAACGATAAAACCGCCTGAACAAAATGCGGGTATAGGTGTAGGGGAATATGGATTAAGCTTAACCGGCATTCCTGTAAAATCCTCACAGACGTTTGTAAGCCGTTGCAAACTCCACTGGCAGCAGAAGTTCCTTCAAAACTCGAAAATGACTCGGAGTACGCTGAGAGCGAGCTGTTGCTTCGTGACGACGCAGCTGAGTCTGGCGGTGATAAGGTGCTCCCCTCGAACACCGAATTGAACGAACCGGCCGAGGAGGGAGGACCCCCGGCCACCGTCGACGACTCCGAGTATATAGTAGACGATCGCGAGGAGATCATCCCTCGAGAAGAGGAAGAGGAAGAGAAAGAACGAGAAGAAGGAAACGATATAGGCAGAACAGGAGCAGGAGAACTAACAAGAAATTGGATTGAGGCACTCATGCAAGTCATGAATCTTCTAAAAAGAAGATTCTACTTGTACTCTTTTTTTTTCCCTTTCCTTTCTTCTTTTTTCCCTTTCTTTCCCTTTCCCTCCCGTCACAGTCAAATAACGAAAAGGTATGAATATCTCCTTCGCGAGACAAGCCTCAACTACCAGTATCCACCAGGGGAAAAGGCCAAAAGACCTCCTTTCAAGAGCGGGGGAAGCTAGGAAATAGCGCTAGAGCAAGCACGGTAGCAACAAGATTGAAGCTCTAAACGTGGAACAGTAATTGGGCAAGTAAGGAGGGAATACAAAGAACGAGGGCAAAATTAAAAGGATTTTTGGAAACCAACCTTGCTCCTGATTGCCAGTATGTCACGATGGTAAGTGGACGGTGGGGTCTTATGTATAACGTTGAGGGCGGCTAGCGGAAAAGGAAGAGAGCAGGGAGTATGATACCGAACTTTTTTTTGCCCTTTTTATGATACTTTCCGGAAAGCGAGAGGGGGAAGGATGGGATGTTGACGGGTCTGTGGCAGGGGTGTGGGAGGTATGATACTGTACTGTACCAGTAGGTGTGCGAGAAGGGGTGTCACGAACCCAGAAGGGTGGGAAAGATGGCAACCAAACTTGGAGCGCGCAAGAAAGCAAGTAAATCACGAAGCCAATTTCGTGACTGGCGGGGCGAATGAGTCGAGTGACGCTACCTGATGTGCCAATACTGAAAGCTCCAAGAAGTACAGTACCCGTCCCAGGCAAGAGGTACAGTACCCGAAAACAGGGATTAAAGAAATAATATTACGGCAAAAATGTGTGCGGGCCGGCGGTATTCGAGTGCCCCATACAAAAACATACCCCCCGTTCTCGGGTACCGGTGCTCTACTCATCACCCACGGGGAGCACTTGTGGAAGCAGTTCCCGCCAAGAAACAAGCCGCAAGCACTACCGTTACCGCTAGTTAATGGAGGGGCAACAGCCACGACCTACAGAGCAGATAAGATAGGCTAGAACGGCCGACAAAGAAGGGAAAGTGAGAAACGAGAGACAGAGAGGACGATAATTTATGCAGGCGCTGGGATAAACGAGCACCGCGATCTCTGGGCTTTGGGCGGATCTGTCAACTTCGGCAGCCGCAAAGACGGGGAAGGCGGGGGGTGAGCCGAATTAAAAAGCAGCATCCTGCTCCCAGCCTTCAGGTTGCGTGGGATATTAGCCGGTGGTGTCTTCAAACAATACACCCAAAAAGTATACAACCAGCACCACCATGCCTCCTCCCGAGACAAGCTTTGTAGAGTAGATTTTCGGCACCGGCTCGAACAACGAGCATCCCTTTGTCGCGTTAACTTTGCTCTCATTGCGTGCCAACTGGCGTTAAATTCGCAAGATCCTTTCTTACTACCGGTATCTTGATTCCCCGGAGACTCATACTGTAGACCACCGTAAGTGACATGAGAATGCATGGGGCAGTGTACCCTATCATACCACATCAGGTATGATAATGACCAGACCCGAAAATGGGAGCAAGTTTCCCGTCAGCTCGCTGTTGGATTTATTGAAAAAAGTGGCGGATTGCTCGACTGCCGGTTGTCCACTTGTACCAATGGAGAGCGCACAGTGCTAGCACAGCACAGTACAGGTACTTGTGCCCTTTTGCCATGATACACTAAAATTTACTGCACTTATCGTGTTCCCTATGTAGCTACTGCGGTATGATACTGTAGCAAGTTAGATACGGGTATCCGTGGGCCCTCCCTTCCCCTCCCTTTTTAAGTCCTTCTTCCCTCCCGCAACTTACCACAAACATCGTAGGTGAGAATTTGGTGACAACGGTCCAGTACTCGTACTAAGTACTCGTACATCCCAAACGCCAAAAATGAGTGGAAAACAAAGGTAACTAGAGAAAAAACAGCCTAGTATGATATGAGGATACCTGTGCGGTTAACCGCACAGCCCCATGTTCTGTACGAGTAGCGGTACTTGACCAGGCAAGGTGTATGAGTACCCGAAGACTGGGATTGGAGAGATACGGCGAAAAAAAAAACCCCCCTGTGCTTATCTGAGGGCCAATATAAGATATATATCCCCTGTTTTCGGTACTTCGTGCCTGGAACAGGTACAGTACAGTACAGCACACTCCATGATGCTCGTAGGATAAGGCGGCACAATAAGATTATAAAGAAAAATACTTCGCTACCCCCACCTAGCGACACTCCAAGATTCATGATAATGGCGGCAGGCGGGCACGGACGGACGCTGGATGGAACGTCGTCAAGCTGCAAACTAGGACCAGGACAGGGTCCCTTCTCATGCACTTGCTTTATGTAGGTTGGCAAGGTACATTTTTCAACTCAACTTTTTTTTATCACATTTATTTTTCCCCTCCCCCAATAGCCCTGTGCATGCTGGGGAAGGGGGGGCGAGCTTTTGTAAAGCTCCGTGTCGCGGGGACAGCCCATGATCTTCTGCTTTGCTTCTGCTTCACTCCTGTCGGATGCCAGCGATGCAGCGCGAGTGCAGAGCTCTGCGAAAACTCCTGTAGTAGCAGTAGATAACGCACAAAAACCATCGGGATGAATATGTTTTTTTCCTCGTTCCTGCACCTCCGAGGTAGCCAGGATAACGGTACTGTACAGTGCGGTGTAGGTGAGGGGAAAGAAAATCAAGAGATAACGTTAGATATCATAGACGAAGCGGAAGATATGAGCCCGGCGAAAGGACGAGTCCGATTTAAAAGGTATCTACGGTAACCACAATTTTAGGTACTGTACGAGTACTATAAGTTTGCCGTACGGTACGTCTTTGCCTTTTTTTAAGACTAATCCTCGCTACCTGCGTCTCCGTTGGATGCGAGACATATCAGCCCCCGGGAAATCTCGAGGGTGAAAGAAAGGGAGAAGAAAAGCATAAAAATCTTCTTATCTCGAACAGGTTTCTACCAAAGTCGAGAAAGTAAATCGGTAAATAAATAAAAAAGAAAGGAGGAACACCATATCGGCACGTGGATTCAGCCACAGTGTGTGCTCGTTTTTGAAACGAGATCAAATGTTTAGTTCACGGGACTTGTGTGGTTGACTGGCCATCTGACGACGACACCGTCTGATACCAAGTGTCGTGATACACATGAATGGAGTCAGCCCCATAAGTTGCCCCCACCAATACCGCACTCGAGTGCGGAGGGAGAAGTGCGAAAGAGTCGAATCTGTTCACGGTGGAGGATATATTGAGTGGGGGTCAACTCCGAATCCCGGGTTCGAAATATAGGCCAAGCTTCAGTTGCTTTCACTGCTATCGGTATTGTTTCCTGTATGATGCTTCTCGGGATTCACAGTCCGAAGACTGGTCCGTTCGCGGCCGTGGAATATTGGTAAGGGAGCAATTCGTCAATTTTGGAGGGGAGGCCGCTCACATTCGGCGGTCAAAAAAGAGAGGGAGGGAGCTGGAGGATATAATAGGATTAGGATGTTTGTGCAACTGGAATGTTTTCCCTTTATTAAACCATCGGTATTATCCACGGCTGGTAGTGTACGCGCCAGTACAGTATGGTATCATACTATACCCAGAGAACTGCTTATTGCCTCTATCTCTTGACCTCATCTTTTGGAGCGTTTGGCCTACCCCACTTTCAAATTATTGCTCTTTTTCATGGGGTTAGGGTGAATGAAAGGGGCAAGGGGCAAGAAACGGTTCATCGCGCAAGAAGGGGATTGTCGCCCGTTTCAAAAAAACAAAAAAAACAGGAAATGTGGGGAAACAACGCTGGCGGAAATCTACCGTACCCCCTCTTTCATATCGGGCGGGGCGCTTGATAAATCGGACGAGTGAGACTCCTTGCCCAACTGGCCAAAAAAGACTTGTCAAGGACACCGTTCCTAGGGTTGCATGGGTAATTCTTCTTTAATGGGTTTACTTCACCCTTGAGGAATTGAACGAGTTACTAGGGAGTAGCATCCATATTCATTGTATGCCTTTGTGTTTTTTCTCCCAGATGATATGTCTACTCGAGTATATGACCCGGATATTGCCGATAATGCAGGCTTATGGGACCCAACGAGTATGCCTATTTGAACGGCATAACAACCTCATTGTATAGCCAAGAAATGCTATTCCCTAGTGGTTTAACGGTTCAGCATAGGACGCATTTGCATTTGCCGGGCGGCAGGCCAAAGGGTATGGTGCTATCGTAGAGTACTGTACCGTTGATCAAATAATAGTATGATAACTGGGTGAAAACGTAGATTTTCTTAGGGTCCCTCCCATATTTTTAACAGTTCAATCGCTCCATCAATTGGTTCCTTGTGTCGGTTGAGAATCGCCAGTAGAGCAAAAATTTCCTCAGCCCTATGGCAATTAAGTTCGAAATGTTCGAAATATTAACGTGAATTCCCATTCTATCATACTCGTGAACTTTTTATACTATTTAGCGAGGATATTTCCTTTAATCACGTGATGCTGTGCATGCCAACGCCAATGATTGACTACGCATCGTTTGTCACTCGTTGACAAGTCGACGACGACAAACAATAGCAATCATTTCCTCCCCTATTCCCGCTTTACACAGAAATGCCCTACTCTCTATACCACTCCTCTTCTCACTCCTTGGCTCAACTGTAGTATTCCCCCTCCCTATAGTATTTACTTAACTTCCCATCACATCCTCATCTACTTCTCTCCTACATACCCACGCGTACAAAGAAAAGACCACTTCTTGCTCCCCACACAAATTCTCTTTCCTCCCTGTTCTAACTTGAGTTTCCGCGTAAGCGTCCGTAATTGCTGGCGTTTTCCATCATATCTGGCCACACACCTCTCTTAAGCCTCTGCCCTCTTCTTCTTTTCTTCCTCCGCCACCCTTCAACATTTCTTCATCCCCCGCCCTCTCCGCTTCTCTCTCCAAACACCATCCCGCTTTCCTTCTCGCCAACATTAACATCTTTTCTTACCACTTTTTTCTCCACGCTAATATCCGGAAAAAATTTCTACCTTTGCTCAATCTATCTTGTCGGAAAAAAAAAACATCATGTCTAGCACTCCGGATTCCACCGGCGGCCAGGAGAATGGCCCAGTCACCCCTGCCAACCGCTCCCGCAGCAACACCATGAGCACAGACCCTTTCAATAATGACATGATTCGCCACCAAAATCACCCCTATGCGAACTATGCGGACTCCCGCTCGGGAAGCCAAACTAATGAAGTAAGCTAAAGTTGCCGCTGATCCCTGGCGGGGAGGATAATGCTAACCTGGTTACAAGGAGGGCGATGAAGCCAATGTCATCTACGTTTCGGGCCTCGTTAGCACTATCGAAGACTTTGCTTTGTGTGAAGCGTTTAGTCAGTTCGGTAAACATGATCCTCTCCCTTCATGAATCGTAATTGATCGCTTTCAGGTAAAATCACCGATATTCTTCGCCGCTTCGTTGGGTATGAAACCAAGGACGGCGGTAACGGGCAATATGCTTTTGTTCGATATGTCAATGTCGAGGATGCCCAACGTGCCCTTCAGGCTGCGGAAGTTGTCCTGGGTGATAG